GCATAAAAACAGTGTTCAAAGAAACATTCACACTTTCTTCTGTTATGCCGTCTTTCAGAGAGAAATATGACCCATTCTCAAGATTGTTGGCTCATGTCGTCGGTGCTGTGTTGGTGAGACAAAGATGGGTAGAACATAAACATGAAAATGCAATAAAATATTGTCAAACTAGTAGGTTTGCTGATTATGGTACGTCTATGGCTAAAAGAAAGAGTATGAAATAGATTGAATATGAGGAACGGAGGTAGACAGTTGGGTAGGAATTATTTATGCTTGATTGAGAGATTGAAAGAGAGAGAGGGTGTAAGCCGTCGTCAAAAGGAAGGCGACTCTTGGAGATGGTTCTAGCTCATCAAACTAAGCTGATATATCAGATTACACAACCCCATTCTCGCCCTACCTTGGAGGATTCAACATAAATGACCCTAAATTGAAAGGTTAAGACAAGTGGTTTCGTAACTTGACTTACATGCTTACAAACTCATATCTCATCATCTCAACCATACTTGCTTACGGACTTACGTAGTTTCGGTCAGGTTGATGATCAGAGCCTAACTTTAATCTTTTGATAACTATGATTTAGGACCGGTATTACGTACAGACGCTAATACACACACACATACACACACACACACATACAATCGAGCAAAAGTAGCAGGACAAGTATGAACGATAATTAGCCAAACCACTTTGTATCCATCCAGATTTTCATTAATAATTTTTGATTTTTAATTTTTTTTTTGCTTGATTGAGTCTCTAAAAGAGGTACGATAGTGCCGGATAATGTTCTTGCTTTAGTGCTAACGTGAGACTTTGACAAGAATGACACCCATCGAACTCAGTTTCATCCATCCTCATCCGGTCAGATTGACCAACGAATCTCTTCTTCATGCAAGTTCATACGAAATGTAGGTACCCCCAACAATCATAGAGTGAGTAGTGCATGAAACCTGTCAATGTTTTGGTTGCAAGGAATATCATCAAATAAGATTGGTATGAAAGTACATGAAGAAGAGATATGTTGGTCAATCTCATCTAGCCCTACAAATAGCGAACATGATGTGCTATCGAGTGGTTGGGTTGTCAACTTAAACGATCAAATTATAATCCAGATGCGAGTGGAACAGACCCTTTTCCACATGCTGAATGAGAAAAACTTTCTCAATCTACACAACAAAGCTGACGATTCGAGTGAATCAATCTATAAGACGGCTATGAAGCAAAAAATATTTTGGCATAGATTAATGAGGAGGATTAAAGTAAATTTGACAAAAGATAGGATAATTAATTTATCTGAAAAGATGGAGCAGTGGTATTCATGGTTGGGTTGCGGTATCTAGAGCATATGGTTGGGCATTTAAATGACATTTTGATGGTATGCATGACAGGTGGGAAAATGTGGAAATGGAAACAGAGAGTTTACGCCGTCCAGATGAGCAGACAATTAGGAAAAGTGACATGATTTGGGTTATTTTGGCTAAAAATAACGCTAATGAGTTAATTAATCGCAAGAATATGTATTAATAAGTTTCCATGTAGTATCAACGTACACAAATATTCACGTTCCAGGAGCCATTCCGGCTAGAATGCTTACTCTGGAGGAAATTCAGTGATTACTCAGCCCCCATGAGTAGTATATCCTTCATCTTTGACTATAGGTTTTATGAACGGACAAGAGTAATTGCTTAATA